GATATTTGTTGTAAACTAAAGAAAAATAAGAACTTTTCTATCAACGTGTATGAGAGGAACCAGAAAGGGAATTTTGGAACAGAAGTGTTAAATGTAATCATTAATAAACATTAATAAACATTAATTATGTTGTATCACTAGACTTGTTCATTTAAGACCTCTTTTGTTATGTCAAACCGAAACTTCTCATAACAATGACTGTGTAACATTCGGAACTAGCACTGCTGTGGAACAGTTTAGTACCTGTAATGTAACATACTTACCATCTACTATCTATTGTTGATGACAGTGGCCCCTAAGAGGTCAGCAGCTGGCTCACACAGTTGCAGCAGAGCATTCACTATGATACAGTTACCTTTGGTGTCCAAGCACTGTTGCAGTTTTTCCTGGGTACCCCTTTCCTCTCTCAATGCCTTAGTATCAGCTAAGGGGCAGCTATTTTCACCACCTGCCAGCCATTATTCTTTTAGAAATGAGAGATGGCTGAGCTTTTTCTGCTAGCAGATTGAGTGCGTGTCTACCTTTCCATAGATTTTGGACTGCAGTTTCCAGATGTTCAGTTGCTAGAAGTGCCCACCAACGCTGACCAACCAAAACACATAAAAACCCGCATGCCCCTTCCCACAAGCAAAGCAATGCTTCCACCTTCACACAGCAAAGATACCTGTGCTGGAGGAATTAATGACTGCAGTATCTCTGCGTTACACTTGCTGCGATCAAGCACATAAGCACGAGCTGCAGGCCTGAGCCACCTCACACCCAGCCGAGTGCCGATCCCTCAGCTTTCTCTACCTAGGCCTCTTAACTTATATTCCCTGCAACTCACACATACTACAACACTTGCTAAAAGGCAAGAAGAAAAAAGCAGTTGCTCCACTCACCTGTTCTAGTCATCTGTACGCTCTGCCTAGACTGCAACATTTTCCACAAAGATGCTGTCACCAATCACACAGGGGAGATCTGTCACTCCTAGCTGCTGCTGTGCTGCATTCCCCATCACAGCACCAGCAGCAGACAGCAATCACTTCACATAGATTTAGATGTGATCAAACTCTAGGAGAAGTGACGATAAAAAGCTGAAAATCAGCCAGATAGGAAAGCGACGATGATCGTTTTCCTATAGAGACTGCACTGGAAGAAGTGACATTTGACGTCACGGCCGCACAGCGTGAATTCTCTGGGTTAAACTCAAACTAAACTCCCGCGAGCAACAAGTGCCTCCTCGCCTCGCCTCGCCTCTCTGGCCGGGCAGCGCTCCATGCCAGCGCCCAGCCGCCAGGCGGAGCCGCTCTCGCAGCAACGAGGAGCGGGTCGGGACGGCCTGCGGGGCGGCGGTGCCAGCTCGTGCTCTAGTGAACCTTTAAACACACGGAGCAGAGGTAACAGCGGCGCGGATCAATATGCTAATTATGTTGGAAGCGCAGAAGTCCGTGAGCAAAGGGGAAGCGGTATGTACAAACAGCCGTGCACGCTCTACAGCCCTGTCAGACGTGTTACGTAAGCGGGAGCGCTAACTGCCGTGCGCTTCCTAGGGAGCTGTGAGCGCAGCGCTGGGAACGCCGGGCACCAGCGCCTGGCCCGCCTGCAGAGCCGCACGGCGGGGGAGGGCTGCCGGCGGGACGCCTCTGTGCCAGGGGCGGGCCGGACCGAGGGGCGGTGGCGGCGGAGAGGAGGGCCGCGCGGAACGGGCGGGGCTGCGGCGGGGCTCGCCATGGTGCTGCTGGTGGTCATGGGCGTGAGCGGCTCCGGGAAGTAGGTGCGGGGCGGCGGGGCGAGGGTCTGCGGTGCAACCGGCGTGACGCTGGCGGCAGGACGTCCGCGGCTCGGCCAGGCACAGCCATCCCGCAGCAGGCCTCAGCCTCCGCACGGCGGCACGGGTGGGGAAGGGAGGCGCTCTGGTTTGGTTCTTCGAAGCTTGGGTTTGCGGTCACGCCCGCTTTTATTTTACGGCTGTAAACAAAGATTTGTCTCCAAATAGATAGGCTTAGTTCTGGGAGCCCTGTCTCTCGGAGGTGCCGGAATAACGAGATCCTTGTGCTTCTTTGCAGAACCACAGTTGGGTCACGTTTGGCAGCAAAGGTATGGCTGCATTCTGTTCTTCTACCGATGTGACTTCTTAGCTTCTCGCTCTGTGCGGCAGCCCACCGCTCTTGGACAACTGGCACTTACTCGTGCTGCAAATGTGGCAGCTTCACGGCGCAGTCTGCCTGCTCACTGAAGCCGGTTTGGGCAGCTATTGCAAACACAACATTGTCTTGAAGGAACAGACGTTACGTGTCAACCATTACTGTTGTGCTGAGCTCATAGTTGTGGTAAAAGTCACTGCATTAATGGTGATTCATGCTGAAGTGTAAGAGGCCTCTAGATTTTAGGTGTCTTGATTAATTCTGGGATCCTCAATAGGATCTATCCAAATCTGATTTGGCCAAATGATCCTTCTTTCTTTCTTTCTTTCTTTTTTCTTAGCTGGGATGGAAATTCTATGATGCAGATGACTATCATTCACCAGAGAATAAAAAGAAGATGGCAGCAGGAATGCCACTAAATGATGAGGTAATTTCTATGAATTCTGAAAGAGTAGAGTACTTTATCTTTGCAGCCTCTGTCAAATCATATTACAAAAAACTGTTTCCTTTATAAACACAGGTTGATTGTCTAGATCTGTAGCTTAGGGGAATCACAGCACTACAGAGGTCAAAAGGGACCTCTGGAGATCATCCAGTCCAACCCTCTGCTGAAGCAGGTACCCTACAGTATGTTGCGCAGGAAACTGTCGTGATGGGTTTTGAATAAGTACAGAGGAGGAGACTCCACAACATCCCTGGGCAGCCTATTCCGGAGCTCTGTCACCCTCACTGTATAAAAGTCAATTTTCATGTTCTGATGGAACTTCCTGTGTCTGTTGCCCCTTGTCCTGTCACTGGGCACCACTGAAAAGAGCCTGGCCTCATCCATTTGACTGTACATTAGATATTTATAAGCACTGATAAGATCCTCCTTTAGTCTTCTCTCCAGGCTGAACAGTCTCAGGTCTCTCAGCTTTTTCTCAGAAGGGAAAAGGGAGATGCTGCAGACATCATCTCATCATCTTTGTAGCCCTCTGCTGGGCTCTCTCTTTCTTGAATTGAGGAGGCACAGTACTCCAGACGGGGCTTCGCCAGTGCAGAGTGGGGTGGGAGGATCATCTCCCTCAACCTGCTGCCCATGCTCTTCTTTGGGTGCCCCAGGGAGCTATTCCTCTACATCAATGCATGGAACTTTAGATTACATGTTTTCTGCCTTAAATATGTTAAGACACACAAAGGTCTTTGCATTTCTCTATTGAAGTAATCACTTTCAATTACTGCAGTTGTTACTCCGTACTTTTTTTTTTATGTACTCCTGCTTAAAATGAGTTTTAAGAACTTTTCTCGGAAAATCTCTAGCAATATAAGGCTGAACGTGGGAGTTCTTTGATACATAAAAAAATGTTCTAAATATTTATTAAAAACTTTCATCTAGCTGGAAGTTCACCAAAGCCATTGTCATGTAAAACAGAACTGCATAATTGAATGATCAGTGTTACTGGTGTGTGGTACCAAGCAAGTATCTCTTCTATAACATCAGTGGTGCAGAATTATAAAGGCCTCCTTGAAAGGCAGTGGAAAGTGAGCCTGTAATTATAATAACAAGAAAATGTTGTATTTATCTATCCATATTTTCATTTGCTGCCCTCATCCAGTAAGAGCTGCACAGAAAGGTGAAATGGGATCAATAGTTTATCACTCAGCTGGTATGACAAAAGTTGCTGAGAGCTTAAGGTTTAAGAACAGATTATATTAAGAAGCCAATCAATCACTCACACTGCCTTTGCCAAACTACTGAGCAAAGGAGTTGCAAAACTGTGGCTATGAGTGCATTTAGTTGTGGTTGCTGCTGGCATAAAAATTATACAGTTATTGCAGATAACTAAATTTAGATCTGTCTTAACGCCTTGCAGCAGTTCCTGAAAGCCTCAGTCTTTTAGAGAAGGGAAAAGAGATAACCATTCAAAGTATAAGCTGCTATCTGAGAGAAGACTACGTTTGAATCATAAGGAGGATCCAAGGAACTACAGGCCTGTTAGCCTGATCTCAGTGCCACGGAAGGTTATGGAGCAGATTGTCTTGAGGGAGATCATGCGGCATGTGCAGGGTGACCGGGGGATCAGGCCTAGCCAGCATGGGTTCATGAAGGGCAGGTCCTGCTTGACCAACCTGATCTCCTTCTATGATCTAGTGACCCATCTGGTGGATGAGGGAAAGGCTGTTGATGTGGTCTACCTAGACTTCAGCAAAGCCTTTGACACTGTCTCCCACAGCATTCTCCTGCAGAAGCTGGCAGCCCGAGGCTTGGATGGGTACACTCTTGGCTGGGTCAGGAGGTGGCTGGAGGGCTGGGCACAGAGAGTGGTGGTGAATGGAGTTAAATACAGCCGGCAACCAGTCGTGAGAGGTGTTCCCCAGGGGTTGGTGCTGGGGCCTGTCCTCTTCAACATCTTTATTGATGACCTGGATGAGGGCATCGAGTGCACCCTCAGTGAATTCGCAGATGACACCAAATTGGCTGGAAGTGTGGATCTGCCTGGGGGTAGCGAGGCCCTACAGAGGGATCTGGACAGGCTGGAGAGCTGGGCTGAAGCCAATGGGATGAGTTTCAACAAGGCCAAATGCCGGGTCCTGCACTTAGGCCACAACAACCCCAGGCGACGCTACAGGCTTGGGGCGGTGTGGCTGGAGGACTGCGTAGAGGAAATGGACCTGGGGGTATTGATTGATGCTCGGCTGAATATGAGCCGACAGTGTGCCCAGGTGGCCAAGAAGGCCAATGGCATCCTGGCTTGCATCGGAAACAGTGCTGCAAGCAGGAGCAGAGAGGTGATTGTTCCCCTGTATTCAGCACTGGTGAGGCCGCACCTCAAGTATTGTGTTCAGTTTTGGGCCCCTCACTGCAAGAAAGACATTGAGGCCCTGGGATGTGTTCAAAGGAGGGCAACAAAGCTGGTGAGGGGTCTGGAACACAGGGCTTATGAGGAGAGGCTGAAGGAGCTGGGAATGTTCAGCCTGGAGAAGAGGAGGCTCAGGGGAGATCTCATTGCTGTATAACTTCCTGAAGGGAGGTTGTAGTGAGCTGGGGGTCGGCCTCTTCTCTCGTGTCATTAGTGATAGGACCAGAGGGAATGGTTTCAAGCTACAGCAGGGGAGATTCAGGCTGGACATTAGGAAGTATTACTTTTCAGAAAGGGTGGTCAGGCACTGGAATGGACTGCCCAGGGAGGTGGTGGAGTCACCGAGCCTGGGGGTGTTCAAGGAAAGGCTGGATGTTGTGTTGAGGGACATGGTTTAGTGGGAGCTATTGGGAATAGGTGAACGGTTGGACTGGGTGATCTTTCAGGTCTTTTCCAACCTTGGTGATTCTATGATTCTATGAACTATATTGTAGTAGCAAGAGGGAATTTATCTGTTCTTCAAAACATTTTACCTCCATAAGATATTTGCAGGTGTATGTAAAAAATAGGATGCAAGCAGTGGTAGCAAACCTATATGAGGAAGGATGACAATGAAAAATGAACTGGCTATACATATTAATGCTAATAAATGCTCCAGATGTTAAATGTGATTCTTTCAAATGCATTTCACATACAATTTTGAACTAATTTGTTTTGTTTCTAGGACAGAATTCCATGGCTTTGTGCATTGCATGATATACTGAGGAGGTAAGAAAACCTCTAGATTGAAGGAATTTGGGGATAAAGACAAAATAAATAAAAAACAAGACCAAAAAATGTTCCAAAACAGAAATGTATGCAGTAATGTAAAAACTTTTGCAGCTAGTAAAGGCATTCCATTTTCAATAATCTAAGGTGCCATAATAATTTCTAAGGGTGTGATAATCCCTGAATAATAGTTTTGGGAAAATTGTTGCCGGTAATAGTTTTGTTTTTTCCTTCTGTCTACAGATCATTTCTAGGATAATAAGCCAGACAGTATCTACTTTAAAAGGGCATAACAGAGAATATAAGGACAATAATAGTAGGATAAAAATTTTTAGAGATATTTGTATTCAGAGATTTGTCAGGTGATCAGCTTTTTATTAAACTCTGTATTATAGTGATTGTATACTTTCTAACCTCAAATAATCCTACCTCCACTATTCAGAGGCAAAGGTAATTCGAAGTTTTCTTGAACTTGAAGGTGAGAATAGTAAAATGTGTAGCTTTAAACTCACCTGTCTTTAACTTAATATGTTATGCTAAACTCTTATTGCTTTGTAAAAAACAATCAGGGGCATGGTGGCCCAGTTGGTGTTCTCAATCTTTCCAATAAAAGACAAATGGTGTAAGAGGGAAGACACTGAAATTGCATTCCCACAATTGGTTGTGAAGCTGGCAATGGTGTTTTGGTTTCGTTGATGATGGGATCTTGTTGGATAATTAGCATCTGGTAGAGTTGTGTCCAGCTTGTTTAGTGAGGCAAAGCTGTCTTTGCCTGAAGGATGTCTAACCTGGAAATGTGGGTTTTGAAGCAGGAATGACAGGAGAGAGAGAGTTATCAGCAGTCTTGTGAAGGGTAACAACACTTTGTTGACAAAAAGAGGGCCTGGAGTGATGTAAATAACAGAGAATAAAAAGCAAGCAGGATTGGTCTTAGCTGGTTTCAGTTCAAACATTTGCATATAAGCAAGGAACTGGCAGTAGGGAATGATTCCAAAGGAGGAAAAGAAGGGGGGAAAAACGCAACAGGCCATTTCTGGGAAATACTGGAGTGCCTGTGAGATGTCTGCAGGTTAATATGTACAACATGAGACATAAACATGGGAACTGTGTGCAGTTGTGGGGCTGTGATCTTGTTGGAACCATGGAGGTTTGGTGGTGTGTTTCAAACAGTTTGAGTACTGCACTGGAGGAAGGTAAGGTCTGGAAGTCAAAGAGGAAGAGCTGCCCTTTATGTGAGAGAGCAGCTGAAGTGCATACAGCCTGCTGTTGGCTGAGGAGCCAGCTGAGAGCTTACAGGTGAGGACTGAGGAGCAAACCAATGTTTTGGCAATGTAGAGGGTGTCTGCTTTAGGAACAACACAGCTAGACATAAGCAATGCAGAATGTTCTTGGAGAGCATCAGTGACACTTTCTGACTCAAGTGACAGACAAGCCAGCAAGAAGAGATGCTTTGATGGATCTCACACATACAAACAAGGGAGGGCTTATCGGAGATGTGAAGCTCAAAGTCAGCTCTAGATGCAATGACCATGAGATAGTGGCATTCAGGTTCCTGTGGGGAGAAAACAGGTAAGAAGCAAGAGTGCAATCCTGTACTTGAGGAGAACTTACTTCAAGAATCTGCTTGGAAGCATTCCATGGGATTAAGACACTGAGGAAAGAGGGGTGCAGAAAAACTTGATGTTCATAAATCACCTGTACCAAGCCCAAGTATAGTCCATCCCAGCAAGCACAAAGTCAGCCAGAAATTCTGAGAGGCCTGTGGGTGAACAAGGAGCTCCTGGAAAAGCTGAAGCATAATGACCAAGCACACAGAGGGAGAAAGCAGAGATAAGTAACCTGGGAAGAATACAGAAGCACTGTCTAAGGATGCAGGGATGCTGTTAGGAAAAACAAAGCCTGTTTGGAGCTGAATTTGGTGAGGAACGACGAAGGTAATCAAGAAGGGCTTCTGTCAGTACGTAAGTAGTAAAAGATAGACCAGGGAAAATGTGTCTGATATCAGACTGGGCAGAGGTTGCAGTGACACAGTCTGTACCACAGCCTTCGCCAATTTAGTCTTTTCTAGGAAGACCAGATATATATATTTTTTAAAATGAATCCCAGGCTTTTTCCATGGACACCCGTGGTTAAGTCTGGATCAAGGAGGATCTTCTCCTGGTAGAAGAGGCGCAGATTAGAGAATACTTGAGCAGAGTGGATTTAACAAGGAACACTAAGGAACCTGGCAGATGTCATTTTGGTGCTACTCTCAAGTGATCTTTGAACAATCATGGCAATAGGGAGAGGTGCTTCATGACTGGAAGAAAGTAAATAATACTTTATAATCAAGAAGAGAGGAAAGGGGAAGACACAGAGAACTACAGGCTGGTTAGCCTCACCTTGATCTCTGGGAATATGATGAAACAACTTGTTTTGGAAACCATTTCCAGGCATGTGAAAGAAAAGGAATCATGAATAGTGAGTGTGGATTTACAGAGGTGTTGTTATGCTTGACAAACCTGATAATCTTCTATGATGAAATGACTGGCTTAGTAGATGAGGGGAAAGCAGTGAATATTGTCTACCTGAACGTAAGTGAGGCTTTCACAGTGTTTCACATGGGATCTTCATAGAGAAGATGATGAAGTATGGGCTGGTGAGTTGGACTGAAAATTGTCTGAGAGGCCAGGCTTAGAAGCTGGTGATCAGTGGCACAAAGTCTACTTGGATGTAATTAGAAGTGTGCTACATGGGTAGACTGAATCTGATCCTATTCAACATCTTCATATGTGATCTGGGTCAAGAGTGTACCTGAAGCAAGCTCACAGTTGACCCACCTGGGATGAGTGGCTGACATGCAAGACTGCCAAGCTGGCATTCAGAGGAACTTAGACAGGAGAAGTGAACTGACAGTTCAACAAAGAGCAATGTAGTCCTGTGCTTTGAAAATAACAGTCCAAAGCACCAAGACATGCAGAGGGCTGCCCAGCTGGAAAGCAGCCTGGCAGGAAAGGCCCTGCAGGTCGCAGTGGACAAAAAGCTGAACTCTTGCTGCTAAGATGTCTAATGATATCCTGAGGTGCTTCAGGAGAAGTTTTGCCAGCAGGTGGAGAGAGGTGATCCTTCCCCTCAGTATTGGTGAGGCCACACCAGGAGTACTGTGTCCAGTTGTGGGCTTCCCAGTAAAAAATAGAGCTACTGAAGAGAACCCAGCAAAGGGCTGTGAAGATGAAGGGACAGGACTACCTCTCCTACAAGGAAAGGCTGAGAGCTGGGATCATGGAGCCTAGGGGTGTGGGGGGGATTTCACCAGGGTGGCTATATATCTGAAGTGGGGACTGCAAAGAAGACAGAGCCAGACTCTTTCAAGTGGTTACCATAACAGTTCAAGAGGCAGTGGGCACGAACTGAAGCTGGAGAGGTTTTTCCTGAACATAAGAGGAACAGTAAGGGCGACTGAGCTCTAACAGCAAGCAGACTGCCCAGAGCTGGTGGACTCCCCATCCATGTTCTAAAGCTGTCTGAACATGATGTTTGCTGTAGGCGTCCCTGCTTGAACACAGGATTTTAGACCAGATGACCTCCAGAGACTCTTTCCAATCTCAACCATTTTGTGAAGCTTCAAAGAGTTCTATAGAATGTTCAAATACTGATTTTTGCACTCTGTTTCCTTGGTTTTTTT